GCCAGTTTATCAGATGGAAGTAGTTTAAGGCCATAAATGTATTCTTAATCAAACCTTATCGGCTCCATATTTAGATATGGTTTGTTTACGATATTTGGCTTTTGCTTACTGTTTTATTTTCCTTTCTGCAGCAGGTAAGAATAATCGTCCTGTTTTAAAATAATGCATACGTTAAGTAAGTTAATGACATTGTATAGATGTAATTTTACTCTCCTTTGGCAGAATAGGAACAAGATAAATTATACACAATGTAGTAAAGCATAAAATTTTCTACTATTTACGCATTCATATAGAAATTTGACTCGGAATTATGTTTGAAAGTAATTGGCAAACAACGTTTACACTGCACTACAAAAGTCAAAAAGTCTGAAAAGACCAGTTTTTGTCTGAATTTGCATGAATTTTTACTCGACATTCTTAATTTGTCTGAATAATTTTTAAAAATTCTTGACATAGTATGAATTTGTCTAATAAGGTTCTTGATTTTTCTTGACAAGTATCTTGACAGTATGTACATTGTCTTAAAATTTCTCGACACTTCCTGTATCATCTGATAAGAGTCTGGATTAGTCTCGACCAATTCTTGACTGTCTCAAATTTGTCTCGATCTGTCTTGACATATTCTTGACATTCTTAATAATGTCTGAATATGTCTCGACATATTCTTGACATTCTAAATAATGTCTGAATATGTCTCGACACATTCTTGAGTCTTAAATATGTCTTGACTTATTCTGCACTGTTTATGACATTCTATTGCTGTTATATACTCCTTTTTATTATGGCTAAACTAAACTTTGAAGAATCAAGGATTAATTTGGTATAGTAAGATACCCTTTTGGTGCAACTAAGTTGGAATACCCTGAATAATCCCCAATGTAGTTTAATTTTGATTTATTTTTATTAAACATTTAAGTAATTGTTTTCACTTGGAATATAAGTTGAAGGTATTGACAAAGAGCATTTAGATTTTTGCCGTTCGCAAAACTGCCAGTCAAATTTGCTTTACTAAAATAGGTGTCTTGTATCTCTTTTGGACCCCACAATTCATCTTTTTGGTTTGTGTGGCTAAAAAAAGAGGGGGGGCTTTCGTTAAGTTAAAGAATTTGTTCCCATCTTGATTCAAAAACCTTATTCATTTTTTAGAACAACCCAAAAACATTTTTTATTCAAATTTGAAAGTTGAATTTTATAATTTTTTATCAAAAATAAATATTTGTGATAACTCCTTCCTGAAAAGAAAATAATGTTTAGATCTATATTATGCATGTCTGTTTGAGAACCATTTCATAAGACCGATGATTTCTATAGAAATCATTGATGGGACCCATTATAAATACATTTTTTTTATTATTCCTGGAGTAGATAATAATTTTCTTTTAATCTTTGGGAATTATTCAATTTGTTTTTATGTTAAAATAATTAACTTCATAATTTTGATGAAGAAAATCCATTTCAATTCAATTTTGTTTTCATCAAAATGATGATTTTCATTTTCATCTATCAACAAACTTTTTAAATTGTAGTGGCATGGTCGGTCAACTGATAAGTTGTATGGCTGATTACAGGTAAAGCAATAACTTCTATTTGACAGTTGCGTGTACTCTGGGGTGTGGAATACCTTAATTTTATTGGGAACATCCTGTCCATGTGTAATACTTAATATATTCCAACAGATGACATTACACAAATTTTTCTTCTGTTAAATGAATGATTTGTATATCATCATAATTTGCTATTTATATAAACCACATTTTGGTATAATAATTATTAACCATATCAACATTGAATATTATGAATGTAGAATGAAATATGTCTACAGTATGATTGGTTTGAATCATTTAATTTATAAGATTTAAGAATCAAAATTTGTAATTATTTAAAAACCCACATTGAAATTGTTTTATATCAATACACACACATTTGAATTATTTTATACTTTAGATTTCATAGCCATATTTGCATTTGTAAAAATATTTATATAACCAAATTTTCAATTATTTTACATGCCCAACTTTTATTTTTGTTGTAAAGAAGTGTAACTTGAAACAACAGTATATCATATAAAGAGAAATAAAGATTAAAGTTATATCATGAATATTGGTCATGATTTGTAAAACTCAGAACTGTCAAGTAAATTTAAGACACGATTCAAAATGTTCAGAATATGTCAAGCCATACTGAGAAAAAATAAGAATGTCGAGAATATGTCGAGAAATTTCAAGACAGTATTCAAATGTCAAGAATTTGTCAAGAAATTTTAAGACCATATTCAGAATGTCGAGAATATGTCGAGTAAATTTCATACAAATTTAATATAAATGAGAATTTGTCAAGAAAAATTCAGACACAAGTCATACTTTTGGAGAATGTCGAGTAAAAGTTCATGCAAATTAAGACAAAAACTGGTCTTTTCAGACTTTTAGACTTTTGTAGTGCTGTATATATTGTTTCATTGTCAGGTGTCAATAGTCAGTGTCACGTAGGATGGCACCATTTGGAAGATTCGTGTTATATGTTCAGTACAGATGCTCTTAATTGGTATTTATCAGAGGTATATATTGTCTGTAAGATCATAAAGCAAAACTTTACGTGAAGCTTAGAAAATATCTTTTTGAAAAACCGAAGAACACTTATTACCAGTAAGACTTTGATTTAATAAATTTATGTCATAACAATGTACAACAAAGATAAATCATTTGTATACCAGCTTTGGTCAATCAGCCTATTTGGTTTTGATTTTTACATCCAAACGATGAGAAGGAGTTAAGTAAACATAATGTATGTAAGAAATTGAATTCACGATATCTTACCCTACAGAGTAGCTGCAGAGGTCACGGAGCTAGACTTGCTGAGGTGACGACAAAAGCACAGTCTGACTATTTGATCTCTATGGTCAAATTACTGAAAAATGGTAACTATAGAAATACACAAGTACACACTCTAGAATGTAGGACATTAAGTCTCTTAGCTGCATCCCCTCTGGTAGAGGCCACAGCAACCAAATTTTGGGACAGTGTTTTGTTCTCCGCTAACAAACTATAACGTCTACTTACCATATGATCCGGGGTATTCATGAAAGCAACTGATATTCACTAGTCTTTATCTTGCTTTCACCCGATTATAACCTAGTCGATTTAATGCATTTCTAGTAGAGATAAGCTTCTGAATATTCAATCCTTTTTTATTTAATCGTTTTAGATATACTTTATATTGACTTTTTGTAAATTTGTTGGTTTATTCAGATATGTACAAAAACAAATTAATGTGGTTATAAGATCAGTTGTCAGTGCTTCGGTATTTACATGATTTATATAACATACCTTTCAAAATTCGAAGTTGATAAATCTAGATTTTTTTTTGAAACTATGGTAAAGTTGCAACTTCTCCGGCAAAGTTGACCTCAGATGGATTTGGCTATCATTTTTGGTTCCTTTTGGTCCTAAAACTCTTCACGTGCTTCATTACTTAAACATCCTTGGCTCTTATTTTTTTTAGGGGGAGGGGATTTTAGCGTTCCTGATGAATGTAAATCCAGAAAAAGGCGTCGGACACATACAATTTATAAAGTGTTTCTTCTTTTTTATTGTACTGATCCGATACCTCTGCTGGGGGGATTATTAGTCCCCGGGGGTATTACCAGCTCAATAGTCCGTGCTTCGTATATAACACGATATATAGCATATCTTTCTTAAATTCTCAGCTCAGTGATAAATTTAAAATTATTTTCAAACCAAGGTTGCAACTCCCCCAGGCAACATTATATGGATTTGGCTATTATTTCTATCATCTCTTTTGGTCATATAGCATAGCTCTCTACGAGTTTCGTTGCAAATACAGCCTTAGATTTCATTTTCTTAATTTTGGCTTTGAACGTTCTTGAAGGTAAATGCACGAAAGCGCTTCTGACCAGCAGACTCATAAACTTTATAAAGTGTTATCGTCATAAAAAGGCCTTTTTTATGCCTATAGAATATAACTTTCATAATAGCACACGTCTTTAAAAATAACCATTTTTATTACTATCCCAAGCGCGTTTTGTCTATCTAACAAAACCTTTGGATAGATAATCAAAACGATTTATCAGTCATTCAACGTGCTCCTGAAACTGTGATGGAACACTGAAGCCAATTGTCTATAGATAATATAACTTGTTATAATATAATTACCTAATCGTGCCTTCTTATTATAATCAAAATTGAAATTAAATATAACATTTACACATAAATGATGGGAGACATTGTGTGTCCGTCAATGGGACAGCAACTTGACAAACAAAAAACCCGGTGGAAAGAAATCATCTAATTGGGTCAACATACGGTCTTCAACTAAAAACGGTGTATATGTCAAACTCTAAATCGCCTCGAGTCTAGAAGAATCGTTAATATATATTACAAAAAATATCCAACATTCCCCCTCAAAAACAAATTCCAATAAAAAAAATTTAAAAGAGATAGCAAAAGACAACTAATTACAAGGTTTCCGTCTTCGGACAAGCATATGGATTTACAATCTGGATCTTAACACGACCCCTTTTTAAAATCGAATACAAAGTAACAAAAAAAAAACATAAAAAAAAGCAACAAACCAATACACACAATAACGAAAAAAACGACAAAATGATAACAAAAAATTAATGATATCGTATGTAAGGCTCCCTGCAGTTACTGCAAATAAATTCTTATATCGGTGGCTGAACTTCGAAGTAAATTTCAAACAGAAATATTGTAAACAGTAAAAGATGGCATGATCATATTAAATGTCTAAAACAAAGTTGTAAAGACTTTCAATGCATGAACTTTTTTACTATATAAAAAGGATAATGATGTAAACAATGTCTGCTGATTGTGATGTTTTTATTTTAATTTATTGATTGTTTTTTTTTTTTATAGTTTTTTGTTGTTGTTTTTTTGGGGGGGGGGGGGGGGGGGGGGGGGGGTACGGGTGAGAGGGTTGTTCTTCTATCATTGTCATTATTATTATTCATTATCATTATATAGGTCATGAGTACTGGTTAGGCGGTAGAGATGACATTATCGAGGGCACATGGCAGTGGGCATCAAGCGACAGAGTGTTTACATATACAGCATGGGGACCAAGTAATCCAAGTAACAGTGGTGGAAACGAGGACTGTTTACATTTACATGACTTTGGATCTGATGGAATAAAATGGAATGACATTCTATGTCAACGTGCAATGAAGTTTATTTGTGAAAAACAGTACGTATTACAAATAATGATAAACAAGTTAGTACTGTGTGACAAAAGCAATAAAAGAACTCCGACACTTCTAATTGTAAAATTTCACAATCTATTGAAAGCGTTTATACTACACATAAAGCTCTTTGTCTCCCCCGAGTCTTGACAAGTTGTTAGCTAACAGGGACTAACAAGGACTATTACATATATCTGCCTGTGATAATATTCCTATTATGACAAATCAAAGGTTTAAATGAAGACAGTCGACGTGCTTCCTGACTTGCGACAGTCATATTTGTATGTGACTGGGTTAAACTACTGTAAATTAAGAAATTATTGCGATGTTTTTATTATTGCGAAAAATGCGACAGGGTTATAATCGCAATAATTTAAACTTGCATTTTGAAATTTTTTATATGAATTAAACAGGATTTTTCACAATATCGCAAAAATTTAAATCGCATTTTATCGCAATAATAAATGCACGCAATAATTTCTGAATTTACAGTAGTTTGTTTATATACCCGACTGTTCCCTTTTGATCTCCGTTAAGGTTTTAATTGAAAGATAAAGATAACTATGCACGATGTGATTCTATTAAAAAATAGCACTTAATTTAAATACCATCGACGCCATCAACATCTTTTTAGTGTCATCTGTTTAAGCTGTGCTATAATAATCTGAGCATCTTCTAGACATTTCATCTTTCTCAGTAGAAACTTGACTTGACAAAGACTCAACTAGGAATGATAGTAACAGTTCTAATCCTTTGATATATTGGTTATTTCCTAGTATTTCACAAAATGACTGTCTTTTAGAAAAGTACATTTATCCAAGAGCATTAACTCACTGTTATATATTTTACTCCCGTTCAATAATTCATTTGTCGTGATTCACTTGATTATGTTACGTTATCTTGTTTTCATTACAGGCTTGATTCCGACAATTCGGAAATTATTGGATGAGAGTTTAGGCGAAAGTATTTCTCGAGCATCATAAATAAACGACTAAAGAGAGAACATCGTTATTATTATGATATTTGTCTCCTCCCGTATCATAAATTTAAAAAACAGTGTCATTTTTTTAGATTTAAATGAAATATGATTGATTGATTAAAGGCAGCATTTATATCCAGCGGCAAATATTACATGCTGTTCTAGATGATAATACTAACGAGGTGTTCTGTTTTATGAACATATTATTGATCATTTAGATACTCTAAAAAAAAACCCAAGAAATTCAACAAAAGATAATAATAGTTTATCTTGATGTTGTATTGATTAATAACTGTATTATGATAGGTCATGGGTCCGATATGGGTTCTCTTACCCACTCTCTCCTGTAGCACTCCCATACCGATAGGTCATGGGTCCGATATGGGTTCTCTTACCCACTCTCTCATGTAGCACTCCCATACCGATAGGTCATGGGTCCGATATGGGTTCTCTTACCCACTCTCTCATATAGCACTCCCGTACCGATAGGTCATGGGTCCGATATGGGTTCTCTTACCCACTCTCTCCTGTAGCACTCCCGTACCGATAGGTCATGGGTCCGATATGGGTTCTCTTAACCACTCTCTCAATTAGCACTCCCGTACTGATAGGTCATGGGTCCGAAATGGGTTCTCTTACCCACTCTCTCATGTAGCACTCCCGTACCGATAGGTCATGGGTCCGATATGGGTTCTCTTACCCACTCTCTCATGTAGCACTCCCGTACCGATAAGTCATGGGTCCGATATGGGTTCTCTTACCCACTCTCTCATGTAGCACTCCCATACCGATAAGTCATGGGTCCGATATGGGTTCTCTTACCCACTCTCTCATGTAGCACTCCCGTACCGGGGATTTCAGAGGCACATTTTCAACCTTATTGCACAAGAAGACGAAAACGTGTTGTTTGTCCTCTCGTAATTACAGCAAACGTAATGAAATTACTTTTTGGTTCCAATTCTTTAATCTGAAATACAGTTAATTGACGACAACCTGTCCACGAAGCAAGGTTTGTATCTGTAACCTTGATACTACACAACAGTTTGTGTTCAAGTAACGAAGTGGATCCAATGTTAGTAACCATGCAGTTAACCTTTGATCAAACTATCATTTAGTTTATCACCAGTATGGATACAGAACACAAAGACGAAGCCCATCATTCAGAGGGAGATATCGGACAATTAAGTATTGGATAAACCAACTGATATCGCCTGCTTTAAGGAAAATCCTGGAACACCACATTAACCCAGGTGAATATGTAACATACAGGGGTCCCGCACGCCAGACGGTATCTAATGTATCCGTGGATCCGTACCATGGTCTTTTCCCTGGATTTATAGTGTATTGTTGGTCAATCCTAACAAATGTTGGCGTCTACAAATATCAACCAACCACACAAAACTATCAATACCCCAAAACTTGGGTATCCGCAATCTTCCATTCTTTGTTGGATTTTTTATTGCTTTTTTAAAAAAAAATCCTTGCCAAGCAATCGCTTTCTATTTTTATGATTGCATTTATTTATTAGGCTTCCCCAACTTCTGGACTCAATTGTAGCTGACGAATTTTATTCCAGAAACACATGTCGTACACGATTGAAATGTAGCATAAGTGTTTAAACCATTAAGGGGAATGAGACAAATAGGTTTTTTTGGAGACCCTGAGACTACTATATATACATATGTGTTATCGTCCTTCCCTTTGCCTATACCACCCTGCTCATTCGCTCTGTGATTTTCGTATCACGGCTTTGAGATGGGAGCAGAAGCTATGAGCGACATCACAATGTCTGAGAAGTTATCAACGACGTCTCGATGTGTGAGGAGACACTATATAAATAACACATAGCTGAGAGAGTGATAGAGCAGATTGTTACCCCGAGAAAACATTGTCAACTGAGGCGAAGCCAAGGTTGACCATGTCTTTTCGAGGGGTAACAATCTGCTCTATCACCCTCTCAGATATGTGTTATTTCATTTATTATACTGAATGTTCTGTTATTATTATCTATTAAATTTCAAATTCAAAGTAATAAACTATGTCGTCTTGTACATAACAATCATCCGTATTTATTAAAGCGCACACTTGAGCAAGCGTCTCCGTGAAGGGTAATAGAGTATTTGCCATGGGATAGAGTAAATTGTCTCCCTCGTATTAACCAATCAAAATCTGGCATTTTGACATGAAGTATAATGATATGAAACTTCCGACAAGCGCAGAACTGTCTAAAAGGGTGTGGAAAAGACCATAAAAGGCACGATAAACAGATTATCGTATTTTCTGCGTATAGATATAGTAAAAATATCGAAGTGCCGAAAATCTGATAATTTCTACTTATATTAGTCTAGGCAGGAGACCAGATCTATCTATCTATGCTAAATAAAAGCATACAAGATCATCTATAATTACGATATTTTTCCAATGCAGGAATCAGTGGCGTAGCTTGCAGGCAGGGGCGAATTACATTACAATGTAATGCATTACATTACAATTACTTTGACAAAACCATGCATTAAATTACAATTACAATTACATGCATTTATCAAAGTAATGCATTAAATTACAATTACTTTTGCAAAGTAATGCATTGAATTACACATTACATTTGTAAATTTTATTATCAAGTGAAAAGAAAAATCAAGCATTTTGAAAAACAACATGAAATCACAAAAGATTCTAGCATATCCTTGGCTTTAGTATGAATAAGTTTTGACGAGAGATGTTTTCTGCTTGGAATGTTAAATTTTGGGTCAAGTTTTTAACAACATTCTTGAAGTTTTGGCTATCAATTGTAGCAAACAGAAGTAAATCACCAACAATATACTGAATTAATGCATCTGTAGCCTCCTTTTGCTTAGGATCATCCCAATGATATTTCGGACTACCTGACTGTTTCACAAATGGTTGCTCTTCTATCTTTGATTTCAAAGTTTCAATATATAATACATTTCTGTGTTTCTCTAAAAAGAAGTGACAGAGATGAAGTTTAATCTTCATTTTAACTTAATGTTAACTTTTCTTTTATAGATATACATTTTTTTTTTTTTTTAATTTCAATCAAAATATTTACTGAGAAATTCTTTCCTAATTATAAAATAAACACAGGACTTAATTTATGACCAAATGTTGTTGATTGTAAAACAAACTAATTAGTGTTTTATGACAATGTTCAATTATCTGTAACAGTTATTTAATTATGACAAGGTACTCTCTGATCTTTTGACAACAATGGAACACTTTTACAGTAACTGTAATGCTTTTCAAATATCAATCTTTTTATGCAGGAAAATATATGAAATAAAATGAAATAAAAAACTAAGTAAGACATGTAAGAGAATGATAATCCCATTCTATATTATGATTAAGTACAAGTGGGTAAAGTGTGAAAAATAAATAGAAAATCAATATTCATATGATAATGTTTTAGTTAATCAAGAAATCTTATATTCTGCTTTTGTTAAATATCAAACAATCTGTTGAAAGATATATATATATTTAATATCAGAAAAAAAGTAATGCCATGTAATGCAATGTAATGCATGAAATTACACAACTTTTTGCTAAAGTAATGCATTAAATTACAATTACATGTAATGCTAAAATTGTTGAATTACACATTACATGCAATTACTTGGAAAAATGTAATGCATTACCATGCATTACAATTACAAATTTGCATTACCCCATGCCTGGTAGCTTGCCTTCTGTTATTACCGAGGCAGGGGGTCTGGGAACGCAACGATTAAGGTTGATTCAAAATAATTTTTGTGATAATCATTTACTCGCTTGGTCAACGAATAGATAATCATCTCAAAACGACGGAAGAATTGAACAACAGAATTTCTTGATAAACTAGGAAATAAACACATGCTACATGTAAAGTGTACCACGGCAATTGTATTGGTTGTGTTTTGTCCTGGTATTTCTTGGAAGGTCTTCAAATTCTTAAATGGTTTTGAACTTTTTCCCATTGTGAAAATGACAACCGGCAAAGTACGAACATTTACGTTATTCTGAAGTCTTCGTGATAAATGAAAACAGCATTTGGTTGACATTTTGATATATAAACGGACATTATGTATGATCTAACTGACATATAATAAATATTTCTCTGGAATTAGTGACTCCTTTTTATTAAATATTTTAAATTCCCTGCTAGTGAAAAACTATAAATTTAAATTAGCGAAAAAAAAACAACTTGAGAACCGCAGCAAATAAATTATTTTCTGGAAATGTTTCCATAATTCCAGAAACCGCAAAGGGTCTGAATCAATAACGGCAACCAGACGATACAAGTCGGTATATTAGCGTTTAGCATTAGGTGGAAATCGTTTAAAAGATTATAAAGGATTTTTTTTACCGAGGCAACTGCCTCGGTTGCCTCAAAGTAAGCTACGCCAATGCGGAATGAAATAGGTTCGGATGAAATAGGTTCGGATGAAATTAACAACATTAACCCTACTTCAGTTAAAAAAAGGTCATGCACATGTTGGTGGAGAGGGTGGGGCACTTTCTATGTAATGTGTGGTAGGGATGAGTCGCTGGAATAGGTAACTTTTTCTAGCTTCATGATATGTGATAAGGTCGACAATTTAAGATGAAATATATGACTGTCTGTTGATTGAATTATAATTATCTGCTGAAACCAAACAAAAGTCGATTGTTTTCACAGATGCGAGAAAAGGGACATAAATGCATCATATATTTGTCAAATCATTATAACTCGCTATGAAATAGCGTAAGTATGGTACATGTAGCTAATATAGAATTGAGAAATAAAACGGGTAATGTGTCAAAGAGACAACAACTCGACCAAAGAGCAGAAAATAGCCCAAGACCACGATGGGTCTTCAATACAGCGAAAAAATCCCGCACGCGGATGCGGGCTTCAAATGGCCCCTTAACAAAAATGTGTACTAATTCAGCGAAAATGGACATCACACTACACTCCGAAACACATAAAAGATCCAAAATTAAGAAACATCCAAGACTAACAACGACCAGAGGTTCCTTACT